GGGTATGTACGAGAGGCACCTTCGACGCCAGTTAACTGTGCCGCCCCAGAGAGTCTGGAAGGACGATTCGAGTGTCAAGGGGCAAAAACGGAGTTCAACTTGGAGTGATTGGCTAAACGCCACGAGACCAGACTAAATTGTGGTAGTGAAAAGTGGTTGAGGTTAGTGGCTTGACGACTGTTGGCAATAGGCGGCGCTAGATGGAGAAAGATGATCGGACAGGACGCAACGTACATGTCCTACCGGCCCCATTAGCATCATCACAGGCATCATGTCTGTGGCGCAACTAATTTTACGCTTTCCTCATCCATCCCTGCTCCCACCACTCCATACACAAGAACAGACGATACATAGAGACAACCACAGCTTACCCAAAATCACCTTCCGCTTGCCGGCGAGCCTCGATAACACGGCCATGTCGGCCTTCGTCACGGCGACATGCAAGTGGCCGATATCGCGGCGGTAGCTCGAAGCAGAGTCCAGTAGGCCGACCAGTTCCGAGTGTCCGGCGGACTCGGCCAACTCTCGAGCCGTGTGAATTTGCTGCGCGGTGTAGAACAATCTGTCGTCCGCTTCAAAGGAACAAGGGAGAACATCAGAATTTTGCGGCTCAGATCATTGGAACATGTAGTCTGGTCATGCATTTTCTCTGTATGATCACATGAAACATTTGGCCCTACAGTCAACTCTCTTGGAATTGACTCGCCTCGATTAGCCCGTTTTAGTATAGCTCGCAACTAATATCCAAAAAAATGTTTAGGCAATCAATCCAACTGTTATTTCATGTTTGCATCATAGAGTTTGATCTTCAATTTTTCCTAATCCTCCTCACGAAACATTCAACTTTGTACTCAGCTGTCTCATATTTAGTGCATCTCAGTCCTCTCGCTTTATTTTTATTTCTTATTTGGCCTGATGATACTGCCTTAAAAATGCTTTGTAGATGAATCAAAATTGTAGTTTCTCATTGCAACACACAGTCAAATAATCATTTTTCTCTACTAAGTGGGACTAAACACTTGATTTTTCCTTTATAAGTAGGCCTTCAAGACTATCAGTAAATCATATATATATGAGATGTATCCATCTTATTTCGTTTGGGTAATAAGTGGACTGGTAGTTTAATTTTCCCACAATAATATGAGAAGACCTTACATTTTCATTGAATTTCACATAGCCTTGCTTTCCCGAAAGTTGTTCTCATCC